TTTTCACTGACTCGAGTATAAGCCGAGGCGGCTTTTTTCAGCCCAAAAAGTGGGCTGAAAAACTCGGCTTATACTTGAGTATATACGGTAGTTCTAGGTTGCTTCTCTCCTTGATTAATTTCCATACATCACTTCTTGTCCTGCTCTCAGGTGCTTTGGAGATTACAGTAGGTTGACCTCCCCGGTTCACCGACAAATGCGCGCTCGACAAAAGCACGGCAAGAAAACTGCGAGGTCGAAATTGCACCCACAGAAGGGCGCCGACAAATGCGCGCCGACAAAAGCGCGCCATCAACAAACAACGCGAAAAAAACATAATAAGCCTAAGCCTAACCCTTACCTTAACCCTAATCACACTTTTGTGGGCGCAGTTTTGTCGGCACTCTTTTGTGGGAGCGCTTTCGACGTCGCGGTTTTCTCGCAGCGGTTTTCTCGGCGCGCTTTTGTCGAGCGCACATTTGACCGATCACGGACCTCCCTCCCCTCTTCTTTGTGGCAGCCCTTCAAATATTGGAAGATTGCTATCATGTCACTCTTAATCCTTCTCTTCATTAGAATAGGCATATCCAGTTCCAACAACCATTCATTGTATAGTTATAACTGTTCTGTCAGGAAATTTCTTCTTGGATTTGTCTGAAATTGTACAGAGTTTCCTGCTTGAGCAGGGGACTGGACTACAAAACCTCTAAAGTCCTTTCTATCTTTGTTATTTAGTTATTTCGAGTTAAGTTTACAGAGCTGGGCGAAAGCTCAGGTTTGAGCAAACTTCACTAATCTCATATTTCTTATCTAAACTTTGTAAGACAATACCAACTGAAATCTGATCTTAACTCCCTGGGAAGGAAGGTTTGGCAAGTTCAGAACTTTCAAAGCACTTTGTCAATTGTCAATTATCAATGCAGTTCAGAAATGACCAATCACACAAGTGTGTTTTACCTTCTATAGAGGAGTCAGCATTGATGTAGGCCACAGCCCTCTCTTGCAGTATTTTGACATTTTCCTACAACCGAAAGGAGGAATTGAAAGCTAATTCAGATTACAGGCACAAATATTTCTTTATGGACTACTTTTCACATAAAGGTTGTCCTCAATTTATAACAGTTCATTTAGTGACCATTTATAATTATGATGGCACGGAAAAAGTAAGTTGTAACCATTTTTCACACCTACAAACATTGCATCATTCCAAGGGACATGTGATCAAAATTTATGACAGTTATAGCATCCTGAGGTTATTGGGATCACTTTTCACCATCTTCTGACAAGCAAAGTCAATGAGAAAGCCCGATTAACTTAACAACAGTGTTACTAAATTAACAACTCCAGATTCACTTAACAACTGTGGCAAGAAAAGTCAAAAGGCGGGGCAAAGCTCACTTAACAACTGTCTCACTTAGCAACCGAAATTTTGGGCTCAATTGTGATTGTAAGTTGAAGGACTATCTGAATAGCTTTTTTATTTTAAATGATCCATCACAAATCTAACACCCTCAGATGACACTCAATCTCTACAAGCCTCCATTATTAACATATTTTTCGGAGTTTAAGACGCACCAAGGTTTTGAAGAGGCACATTTTTTTAAAAAAAGGTTTTGCACTCCTCAAATCTCCCCAAAACGGCCCGTTTTTCACTCATTTCTGCCCTTCCCAGCCCCCAGGAGCTCTCTAAAAGCCTCCTAAAGGCTATGCATGGCTGTTTTGGTGAAGGGATGGGGTTTCGGGAGGCAAAAAATGCTGTATTCAGTGTATAAGACACATCCAGATTTTCAGCCTCTTTTTTGAGGGAAAAAGGTGTGTCTTATACTCCGAAAAATACGGTATCCCGAATTTTACAGTTTGTAGTTGTTCACATTTTTATTAGTTATAATTCATGTTTATCATTTTTGTTAGTTATAACACCCTCGAGGGTCCTCAAAATCAAAATTATTTGCAAGATATTGAAGATATTTGTGCAAATTAAAAGCAATGACACTTGTTTCAAAAAGGATTTTTTTCCCTGAAAAATAATTTACATTAATACACATACCGTAGTCAACCCTGTTGACTTACCTCTGCCCACTCTGTTGATCCCATTAAGCCAAACTCCTCAGCATCCCAACTAGCAAAAATTATTGTCCTCCTGGGTCGCCAACCTATATTTATAATATTTAGAGCACCGTTAGTTTAATAGTAAAAAAATTATTCACCTGAGAGTCAAGCCAGCCCAAATGACAATATTCTTTTCCCCGCTTCCTCTGGTTTGAATTCTCATTTGTTTTTCAGCAGTTTATGAATAACAAGCAAGCACTTAAAAATGGGTGCAATGGGATAGTCCCATTTTTGATGTTGTTAGTTGCAAAGTCATATCAGACCCATCGCAACCTCATGGGCAACGTTCCTCCGGGCCTTCCTGTCCCCTACCATCCTCTGGAGTCCATTTAAGCTATTTCGGGGACTCCATCCAGCCACCTCATTCTCCGTCGTCCCTTTCTTCTTTTGCCCTCAATTGTTCCCAGGATTAGTTTGAGTCCACCTTGAGCCTGGTGAGAATCAGCAGTACTGCATCCTAATTACTGTGCCCACTGTGGGAAGTTATCATCCAGCCCTCTCCCAGAAAAATGAAATATCCAAGGAAATATTGAAAAGGCAGAATATTCCTCTGGATATGAAAAGAA